GGAAATTCTACTTGCCTAAGTCATTGTTACCTACGTTTTCCACTGAAACTAATCTTAAATGATATACTTGAGCTGTTCTATCCTGATAGAGATGTGCTGTAAGTGTCAAACACACAGTGGCTTTTGAAGACATACCTTAGAAAGATTGTAAAGTATATCAGTAATTTTGATATTGATCATGTATGGAAATGGTAATATTTTGGATTTAGCAGATTAGATTATTTAATTTTCCTGTTTTATTTTTTACTTTTAAAAATGTGACTACTAGAAAATTTTAAATGACACATTTAAAGTTATATTTATTATATACTATATATTTATTATATATATATGTATATATGACATTATATATTTATTGGACAGTGCCAGGCAAGTGTTGCTCTATGCTGTCTCTGTCTCTGCACTACAGAATAGGTGAGGACCCTGAGGCCAAGAAAGCCATACACCTACCGGAGTTCCCATATCTAGTAAATGACGGGGCTGTGGATCTATGTGGAGATCTATGTGGAGCAGCCCCAGTGCTCCCACCCACTATGGCAGAGTGTATCTCAACTGGGGTCATTGGGTTCTGGTGTAGGAGGGAGAACACTGTCCCAAACACTACTTCTTATTTATTTATATGTATGTATGCATGTATTTATTTATATTTTAATTCCATTGTAGTTAACATCCTGGGCCAAACACTAATTCTTAAAGGCAGGAACTGCTAGTTGCTTGAAGGTTTTACTGAGTTTCTCTCAAAATATGTTTATAATCTGAGGAGTTTTACAGTTTTATTTCCAAGTTGTATATTTCCCAGCATGTAAAAATAGAGTGTAGCCCATTGAAAAAGGAAATGGAACACAATTTACTGAAAGAATCTGTTATCTTTAATTTAGAAAGAAGACATTTAACTTGCAAATGTTGCCATAGATGTCTCTGCCCCACGGATGACAGAACTGGAGAAACTTGTGGAAGACATCTCCTTGGTTGCTCTACCTGACTCTTCTGGAAGCTTAAGGTCTCGAAGTTCTGTGATCTCAAAGGCTTAGATGAGAGCACATTTTATCTTGCTCCCTTATTTTGTTGTTTCTAGATCTTGCTTCCCCAGGCCATGGCCTGCCCTACAGGTAACAAGTACGTGCGGTGTTACTGACACCTCTTTCCTAACCTCTGCTATGGTAAATGTGGTAGCTCTTCCCAGACACTTATTCTGTGGAAGTGGAGCACATGTTCTATTTGGAGATTGGCTGGCATCCCCAGCATTCCTGATGTCTCCCTAAAGATAATAGTAGACAGGAACACTCTGCCTACCTGAGGTAAAGAAACATCAGCCTAGCTTCCTACTTGTGGGTAGCCAAAGACTCCTCTTGCTTTTACTCACAGGGTCCTACATTATTCTGCCCCAGTGCTAGGCTGGACATAACTTCTTTCTTGAGGTTCACAAAGATATAACACAGCTACAGTCACCAAATAACCTGAGACGTGATCGTTTTAATCTCTTTCTTTTGGTGTAGAACTGCCAAGACTGGCCAGAAACGGTACCCAGACTATTTAATTGCCTATGGAGCTGCAGCATGAAACTAACGAGCTGCTCATTAGTGTACCCAATGCTTTCTCTTTCCTTCCTGTGGCTTCTGCTCCTGGTTTAGAAGCAGAATTATCAAGTTTTCTCCAAAGAAACATATCTGTCCTACAGCAGTCAGATCTCTGAACATTTAACTTCATCTTCCAAATCATTACAGAAAACACTTAATGGCTCTGTGTCCAGACCTGACCCCTGCAGATCCCATTTGCAATGACCGTCAAAAGGCAGATGGATCACCACCAGTAAGTACTCTTTGCATTTGGCTTCCAAATATAGGAGTGGTTGGGTAACTGAGGGTCATTAGACTTTTCCAAATTAAATTCTTCTAAGATCTATTTCTCTAATGCAATGGAAGGACAGTATGTTCCCCTGACTGTGGATGCTAAGCTTAGAGGGACAGAAACCAGGCTCACATAGGGTATTTGTTGAGTAGAGAACAAGTAGATGGCCACCAACTTCTCTCTGAATATGAAGATCATTCATATTCGTCATGTCCATTAAGTATCAAAAATGATGCTCAAATCTGCTGCACATTCTGATGCACTATGCCACCTTATTTTCTTTTCAACTAAATCTACTGATAAGTGCTAGTTCCTGAATTAACTTACGCTAAGGAGGCTCTCTGTATGGTCCTTGCCCTCCATCAGCAGTCTAAATTTCACATACCTTATAATGACAATGTAAAAGAGTGCAGTTGCTGGCTGCAAGGTATTAGGGAATTAAAAAAAAGATTGTAATAAATTGGAGCTTTCAGCCTCACCTAGAAGAATGCAAATGTAGTCATAAGAACACACACATACTGCACTGGCCGAAGAAAATGTCAGCTTAGATTCCACTAAAAGAGACCAGTGTGTGACCTTGCCTTCAAATCAATTCATTACAGGTCCTCTGTGGAGTCTGAATCCAAGGCTAAAACATGGGGTGGGGAAGAGAGGTGGAGGGGCAATTTTTTTTTTAAATCCCTCATGATTTTGATATCCTGTCTGCTCCTCCAGTTGAGAATAATCAAATTCAACATTAAACAATTCTCACATGAAATATATTGGCATGAAGGTGTGCTCATTCCCACTTATGCTTATGAGGTGCTTCCCATGTCTGTGGGTATTTGCTACTAGCTGCAGGCCCAGATCACAGGAATAGAAACCTGGTGTGATCAGAAAGGACTCAGACATTTCTGGTTTTAGGGCTGTTTGGAGACAAAGGCTGCCTACCTGCTGAATTTCAAGTACTTCTATCCTCTTGTTTTGATACACTTCCTTTCCCCTAAATTGGGGGTGGGGAGGGGCAGAAAGCACCCTCAGTTATTGCCAAGGCATTATTCTGGAGGTATGAAAGGCACACTATCTTTAGTTTGCTAATTTTGCCTGAAAGCTGTCAACAAAGGGCTAAGAAGAAATGATTTGATTCTTTTCAGTTTGCTTTTCAATTAAGATATTTTCTTTTCCTTTCCTTTTCCCCTTCCCTGACAAGCATGTATGGAGTAGCCTGGGCCTAAAGCTTAGTTGAGTCAGGTTGGGGTTAGGGAACAAGACTTCTGGTAGTTGTGAGAGGTGATGGGATAAAAGCATCCAGGGACTGAAGGGAGTATAAGCCCAAGTTCAAATCTAGAGAAAAATACAACTAAAAACATACTTCCAGCAACATTTGCTCAAAGTATTCAATGGCCAGCTGATGGTGGTGACAGGACATTGTCCTCTAATATCTCTTCTCCCTTATTTGTGGAATAATGGGACTTTTGTTAGTTGGACCCATGGGTTCTAAGGAAAAGAATATTTCAAGCCTCTTGCAGCTTCAGTGTGGCAATGTGACTGAATTCTGGACAAGCTATAAGGGGAAGTATGTGCAATTTCTTGGAAGTGTCTTTAGAGGGAGGAGGTATGTTCCTTTCCTCTTTTCTTTTTCCTGCTGGAAAGATTAGAAGTCAAGTGGTGATGGGGAGAGCTAAAGCAGCCATCTTGGGCCATGAAAGGATTCTGAGAATAAGTAGCATGCATGATGGAGCGAAAGGGTAGGAGGAATCCCTAACATCATGGAGGGCCATGCCATCTCTGGTCTCCCTGGATGTTTTTCATGAAGACACCCTTCTGTCTTGTTTATCTTACTTGGCAGGGTGGGGGTGAGGGCAGGGAGCCAGTTTTAGATTATAGTCATATTTTTCCAGACTCATATATAAAGTATCAGGTGCATGAGCAGAAGTAACGCGGAGACATTCTCATGCTATCCCATAGAGGCAGAGAAGGGTCACACATCATCACTATTTCACCTGTGGGAAAGTCTTTCAGAGGGGTGAATTCAGTTCTTCATCCCATCTTCCTTCTGTTGTATCCCGAGTTCCTTCTCTCTGGCCTGAATCACCAGCAATTACACTTTTCACTTTTTATCAGTACTGCTCCCCACAGTACATAAATATATTCTGCCTTTTAGTTTTGTTTTTTTTTTTTTTTTGTAAAGATTTTGTTTATTTATTTGACAGACAGAGATCACAAGTAGGCAGAGAGGCAGGCAGAGAGAGGGGAGGAAGCAGGCTCCCCGCTGAGCAGAGAGCCTAATGTGGGGCTGGATCCCAGGTCCCTGAGATCACGACCTGAGCTGAAGGCAGAGGCTTAACCCACTGAGGCACCCAGGTTCCCCTGCCTTTTAGTTTTGCATGATCTGTAGACTGTGAGAACATGGGGATGGAAAATGTCTCTTTTGTAACCCCTTCTCCCACTTATCATGCAAAACAAAGCATTACTTAAATTTCAGACACTCCATACACTCCATAATTGAATTAATTTGGAATGCATTTTTCAACTCCACTCATTACACCATTTCCTGTTTTGTTTTGTTTTTTTTTTTCACTCTCTTCAGATTTTCTGTTCTTTAGAGAAATTATCTTCACAGGAGACTGAATTATAACACTCTCTAAAATAGTGGCTCTTAACTTGAGGAAGGGGAAGACAGAAGAACTTCGGGGAGTCCATCAGCTCTGCAAAGTTTTATATGTGGGAATATGAGCTTTTGCCTGGAAGGAAAGTACATAGCTTTCACCAAAATTTCCAGAAATTCATGACCCTCCACTAGCGTACAGTAAAAAACAAGAAGAAGAAGGGGGGCGGGGAGGGAGAGGGGGAGGAGAAGAAGAATGGGAGGAGGAGGAGAAAGAAAAAGAAGAAGAAGAAGAATTATTATTCTTTGGCTAAAATGATACCTAAAATTGGTTTTTGGATGGGGCAAGAGAAGGAACAAGGCCTACTTGGACAATGCAGTTTATAAAGAAGATAAGCCCATAAATAGATCAAAATGTTTTATATATCTAAAGTTGTTGTTGTTGTTGTTGTTGTTTTTTTAGGCTCCACTTTCTTTCCATGGTGTTGAAAAATAACCTTAATCCTTAATCCCAATTGAAGAGGCGACCAAGCAGAAAAGATCAAACAGACACTGGCAATAAACTGAAGCAATGCTTTATTGCAACCACAAAGCACCAATTCAACAAGGCATTGACACACAGAGATTTGAACAAATGTCTCTTTGAACAGAGATGTAGCAAGCTCACTTTTTTCAAGTTCTTAAAAACAAGTACTCAAACCAAGAATCAAACAAAGCATCAGAGCAATTAAAAAAATATTACACCATCATGAAGGAATATATATAAAAATATTCTGTACTAGTAACAAGGCTTTTTGATCTATAACTCTCGGCAAATTCCTTCAGAAACAAATCAGTATAAATACAAACCATAAAGTGAAAAAATCCTTTCTTCTTTGGAAACAAAGAACCAATTTGAAAGTAAATCTATGCAGAAAATATCATTATCCCCTGTGAAAAAAGCTGAATATGGATGGCGATCCCCAAGACAAAACAGAGTGTCTCTTTTCAGAGGTTCTGCTCCTGCAGGGGCCATGATGCATGTTCCTCTCAAACATCGCGGTACATCCCAGTGAAACCTTAATAAGGTCAAGTGAAGGACCCTCTATAAAAGAGGGTGTCGGCAATTCCATCCAAATAACACAAACTCTAAGGAGCAGAGGGACTCAAGGGAGACAGCATCTCTCTCTCTTTTCTCCCCTCCCCTAAGTTTTCTGGTCTTTCATCTCTCTACATCTGTAACCAGAAGATCATTCCATTCAGCACTTTTTCAAGGATTTTGGGAAAGCAATCTGAAGAAAACCCCTTTGGTGGGGAGGGGTGTCCAACCATGTCAAAGATAACTCTGTTTGACAGGCTCCACCAGGAAAACCATGCTGTCCACAAGTCATCCTTGCTCCTCCTGGCTGAGTTCAGGTCAGCTGATGGATTGCCTAGTCTATCCCATAGGATAACGTTTCATTTGACTGAAATTCTTTACATATACACATGTATGTATTCTGTTTACAAAGTTTCATCACATGAAACTAAATTATATCATTATGTATTTTTTGAGGTCTAAGACCCCAATTTGACTGTACTATGAAGAGTTGTTCTTTAGATGCTTTGTCTGCAGAGGTTTTACATGATACTCGTAGATTTTCAGAGCAGGCCCCAGTTTTAACTGAAGTCCCGTCAACACATCATTTCTTGTCATCAATAGCAGGGATTTTCCATCAATTTCCTATAATGGACGAAGACGGTAAAACCAACACTGAGTCCAAAAGCTCAAGGATAATGAAGAACAAAAAAAGTTCAAAGGAAAAAGACATATTGATTGTCCTCAAGCTAAAAACATTACTTTTTCACTTGGGTCAAATGGAAAAAATGGACTCCTCTATTTTTATGTTCCATCTTTCACTTTTATTTTTGGATTAAATATAATCCATAGCTGATCTTGTTTTCAAGATCACATCCCTAAAGTCTCATCTTAAAAAAATGATGACAGGCTTGGCACATATATCTGTAAGGGTCAGAGATATTGTTTCTGAAAGAAATAATGACCCTTTCCATTTATAAAATGTATTGAAGTTTGCGCAAAATTTCTGTGTATTTAACTCCTAAAACAACTCTATAAATTAGGGCAGCCAGGTATTATCAGATTTTACAGGCAAACTAAGGACCAAGGCGAGAAGTTAATGTGCTTAAGATCAAGAAGTTAGGCAAGGAAAACAGAGGATTGGAAATCATCTGCCTAAAACCAAAGCTGTTGTTCTTTCCGTAATGCCTTGGTGTTTCTCTTGACACTTAGAAGTAAATATGTGTAGTATAGGTGAACCGGTGGGGTCATAGATGACTCGGTATTCCAGAATCTTGCCAATTACAACAATGGGCAATGGAAAAATGATTCACTCTCTGTGAACTTCTTTCCTGTCCTTTAAAAGAAGAACCATCCTGTCTCAACCTGAAAATCAACCTACCATACTTCCTCTTAGTGGATCCTCAAGATTCAGGTAGTGAAGGTAGTGACGGGCAGGGCTCTGCCCCTGCTCTCTCAGAATCCACTTCCCACTCCCTTCAGGTACCCAACCAGAGTTCCCTGGAGACCACAAAGCTTTTGGGGTAAAATACAAACAGGCTTTTCATGGAAGGGATATGGATCCCAAATACAGAAAGTAGTTTGGAACTTCTGGAAATGGATCACTGAGAAGCTTGCTGAATATACCACCTTATTTTTATTATTTTTTATTGTGGGACAAGTGAGCTGGCTCTTAGGGGGCCTGGGCTCAAGAGATGGACCAGCTGTGCATGTTTGGTAAGCATCGACTTGTCTGTACAGACATATGTCTGTACCCATCTCCCCCATGATGGACAGATAAGGAGATAGGGGTGTAATTGCAACTACACAAAACTGTGACTCTTTCCTACACTGACCCCAAGAAAGCCATTCTTCCAAACTCCCTTGTGTTTTGCCAGGCTATGAAGAAAATGTCCTTTGTATGTCTCCGTGTGTGGAGAAACACCACTGGGCTCACGGGCTGAAGAAACACCCACTTTGGGATGCCTGGGTGACTCAGTCAGTTGAGTGTCTGCCTTTGGCTTGGGTCATGATTCCAGGGTTCTGGGATCGAGTTCCATGTCAGGCTCCCTGCTCAGCCAGGAGCCTGCTTCTCCCTCTGCCTGCTGCTCCCCTTGCTCATGCCCTCTCTCTCTTTCTGTTAAATAAATAAATGAAAATCTT